TGACCCATCCGATCTGGCTCTTCCGTGTGTTGTGGATGCTCAGTTCCCGACTGCGCCGCAGGCTTCGTTAGCCCCGCACCCCCTTCACCCCCCCCCCAGCCCCGCCGCCGGGGCGCCGAGGGCGGAGGGAGAAAGGCTGCGCGGCCGCCCCACGCGGCCCGCAGCCCCCGCAGCCAGCGCGGGTCCGCGGTCTTACCCTCCCCGGGAGCGCGGTGGCGGTGGTGGCGATGCGGGGAGGCGCTGCCCGTGGCGACCGGGCTCCGCGCGGGGGTCGCAGGGCGTCGCGCTCACTTCTGGGCCCGCCTGCCCTGGATCGGCTTCCTCACACCGGGATGGGAGACCCTCTGCTCGGCATCTCCGGAGCACTGCTTGACTCCAAAACCCACTGCCCTGCAGAAAACTGGACCCAGAGAGCCCGCGTTAGCCCGGGCGGGAGACCAGGGCTCGGCACCGGCCAAGGCCGGCTTAGCGCCAGGGCGGCCCGCCATAACCCCCTTCGGGTTCTCTGTCCTGGAAGTGCCGACCTTGTAACCAGGAGCGTCCAGGTGCGTCCAGGGGCGTCCAGGCGTGAGGTCCCTGCCCACCTGCAGGGCTCGGCCCCCTGAATGCCTCCTGGCGGCCCGCGGAGGCCTGCACGGCCCAGCCGCACCAGCACGGGGCCTGTGAGCTTTCCTGATGAGCTGCCTGCCAAGGAGACAAGAGCTAATGCTCAAACAGGTCGACCTTCCAGATGTCAGCAGTGATTGGTTCCGGTCGAAGTTCCAGGTGATTCGGAATTCCTTCCTTAGAGTTTACTGTATTTTTTAACTTCCTACAATAGTTACGTATCTCTCTTGTGTGTCAGGAAAAAAAGAAAAGAAAAGAAAATCCTGCTTCAAGTGTTGCCTGTCCCAGAAACCTCTGGGACGCCTCACCCTGGGTGAGACTCAGACACGCGGGGCCCTGAGGTGCCTCACCTGTAGCCCTTATCTTTCTACATGCGCAGTTGCCCGGCTCTTCTTCAAGTCCCCAGTGCTTTGGTCAGCAACCAGCGCACAGTAGGACTGTCTAGTGAATAAATTAATAGATCAGTGAATGAGCAAGTGAAAGACTAATGTCCTACATTACCAGCTCTACTCCAGACTTTAAACATCTTCCTAGTCAAATGAGTTCATGTCTATCAGGACAAAGGTCATCCATTAAGACCAAGATGGTTCTTCAAAGCTCAAGAACGCATGGTAAAATCTGAAATCCAGCAACCTCTCTGAAATACAGAAACCTAATGCTTGTTTGAAACACTTCTCTATTCCTGATCCAAATTCCTTGTTATTCCTTGAATTAATGAGCCCTTAGAAGTGAGAGCCATGGGCTACAGGGAATTATAACTGGGAAAGTCCTAATTTGTCCTCACCTAGTTGTAAAAATAACAGCCACAGCCACAGCCACAGCCAGGTTTCATTGATACAATGTGTCTCTTCTGGTTTGTTGCTTAATAGAAAGCTGATGGGTCAACTACACAGAACAGCGAAGGGGAGGACATGGGTGGGCTGCTGATCACCCTGAAAACTTAGCTTATTGCTTTACTGTGATTTCAGGGGTCCGGGAAGGCCCTCTTGTACCCCGACGATTTTCCATGTCCTCAGTCCCAGTTTTTCCCAGAGCTCACCTAGTTTTTAGGCCAAACACAGGCTATTTAAAGTTGAAACTGCTGGGTTTGGATTTCCATAAGGCCTAAATACAGTGGCTTCTGGTTCACTCTCCCCTTACCCTGGGCTGTGGAGAACAAGACCGAGCAGCCTGATTAGGGACGCGTAGCTGGGAACAGCACAAATGCAAAAGAGGACTCGCAAAGGAGGAAAGTGTGCTTTTCTGTTTTAGGAAAGCTGCTGACTTAGGGGATGCTTCTGTTTTTCCACAGAAATGCTGCCTTCCATGGACAGAATTCAGCCACAATCAAGCTAATTGAATGCACAAATGTAATATTTTTTCCAGGGCACCTCCAATTTAATGCTTGATGAAATTGTGTCTTTCGCATATATTTACAAAGGCTTTTCTTCATCCAGAAATGTCTGTTAAAATTGCTTATAGATGCTGAGATAGCAAATCACTCTTCTAATGTAATGAGATAAGTCATCTCTATAAACTTTGCTTGCTCAAATGTACTCGCATAAAAGAAATCAGGCTACAGGCTTTTTTCAATAAATAGAACGAACAACTAGAACTTGATGGCTATAGCATGTTCTGCCTCATTGCTATGAGATGTTTAAAATTGCTCCCTCTCTCGCGTGCGGCAGAGTTTTCATTTTGGTAGTTGATGGAAAAAGGAGGTCAAATAAACTGATGTGTGTAAGAAGCCAAAGCCATTTGTCAGGACGTGGGGAGAGGCCGGGAGATTGGAGTCATTTAAAGACTAAAAATTGATTTAAAAGATTTCTGTCCTCAAATCATTTTTCTTGCTAAATGTAGCCACTTCGTGAGCCTGGTTTCCCCCGCCTTGGCGATCTTTACTGATCATTTACACCGCGGGAGCTTCACATGCCGGTTAGATTCATATGCATGGTCATTTGTGCGCGGTCCCTAAGACGGGTCCGAAGATCAAGAGTCCATGGAAAAGATGAGGTCTTATCCGTCTGTTTCCAAGCGAGATCTGTCTTCCGACTTTAATCTGGATGCCAACTCTGTGACAAAAGGTCTAACAGGCCGTCTCGCACAGGACCAGCAGAAAGGGCCGTCGTGTATGGCTGGCTGCTCTGGCTGTGCACTGCGCGGCTCCACGGCGGCAGCGCTCACAGAAACCAGTGTGGAGGGCGCCACCTGCAGGTGTGTGATGGGACAGCCCAGCCCCGCCGTGCAGGTGCGGGTGGGGGACGGTCATCTTTTTGTTCTGTCTGGGTTCAGTGAGCTTTCATGGCTATACTGCATGCGCTTGCCTACCTCCTCAAGGAATGAAATCAAAATTTCCCATGACCAGCTGACAAAGTGTTAAAGCCTGTCTGCTGTCCCGTTCCTTTTCTTTACCAAGTGCAACTGGGATCTCCAGATGGTTCTTCAAGAAAGACTTTGGACAGCTTGACTGAGGAAGACAGGCTAAAACCCAGGAGACTGAGACCGAAGTCCAAGTGCCCTCGCTCCACAGGTGGGGAGAGACGGGGGAGTGTTGGGCTGCTCCTCCAAAAGCGTTTCTTGTCCCAGCCTGCCTGTCGGGTTTTCCCTCGCGCCTGCCCAAGGGTCCCGACCAGCTAGACTGGTGGCCAGGCCGGCCCGGGCACAGCAGGAGCACAGGCCTGCCTTCTCCTCCACCATCTTCCCCTTGCCGCCAAAACACACTGCGTGATGGCCGGGAGCAAAGCCCCAGCACTCGCTGCTCTGAGACATGGCTCTTGACAGTCTCTGCCCAGCCCCATCAGCCCCAGGAGTTCAACACAATTCGGGATTGAACAGAAAGGTCCTGCCTTTTATGCAGGCCCTCGAACTCTGCCCAAAGTATATTTTGGGATTTGGGGCATCAATGCTAACATGCCTAGAAGGGTACATTGGAGAAAACGCCCTGTTTTTGCATAACCTAATTTTTAAAGACTAGCTCAGTGGCCTTAGACACCCTGTGGGGCACGAGTGACTGAAGAGCCATGCTCCATCTGACTTTCCATTGTAAGTTTGCCAAAGGATCAAAACCCCAGGTCGGTCGGCCCACAGGTGTATTGTGTTGGTCGACACAGTCTCATTGTACTTGAATTTGAATGTGCAGTGGGGCAGCCATTCTTGTTTCTCCAGACTTCCTGGTTCCGCCCAACCAGCCTATTTCAGTTATTTTCATTACCTGCCCAGTCCCTGCAGACTACAGAATTTTCCAAAGGAGTTTACCAGGACTTGCCGAAGAAGGTACAGGCAAACCACTTAGGGGTCTAAAGTCACCCAGGATGCTCACCCAGGATGGACCAGGTGTCAAGAATTAGTGGTTGACATAGTATGCTCTGAAAAGGAGGAAATGTGGTGGGGACAGTCAGCTCAACTCCCACTCCCTCCGCCCCGGCCCCTACTTTGCCCAGCCCTGCGCCCTGTGCTTCAGGAAGGACCTGTGTAAGCCAGCTGTCTGCAGTATCCTGGGCCAGCAGCCTATGAACCACTTCACACTATGAACATAAATACATAAATAACACATATATTGTGCAGTCAATCTGTGAAAGGACAGTGAACCATGTCACTCTAGGGCAGGTCCCTGGCTGGCTGGGGAGAGGGGGAGACATAATTGTCACCGTAACTTCTGTCCTCGTGTCTTCTGAAACGCAGACCAGTTGTATAAACTACCTCTTATCCACTAACAGAACCCTACGACCTTATGTGGAGAGCTTCCTCCCAGCTATAACCCTTCACCTTAGACTTTAGGGCACAGTTCAAATGTTATGCTCTCCGGAGTCATCTTTCTTAACAGTCAGAAGCAATAACTGTCTTCTCTGTGGGCTGAATTCACTTTCACTGCATGTCCCTTACAAGAACACTGCAGCCTGACTCACTGAGGGTGGTCCCTGAGGTTGGGGTAGGATGGTATTTATAAGTCCAATGGCTTCGAGGAACATTTGCAGACTCTACCGCCCCACGCCTCTTCCTAGTTTGAGGCCACCAGTGATGCTTGTCTTCAGCTTGTGTAGCTGTAGAAAGATGAGCAGATGAGGGGTAGCCCCAGGATCTTTCCCCCACAGGCAGCATCGACTCCTGGGTATGCAGAGCCGCCCAGAGAACTTCCTGTTAGAACAGAGATGTTCGTGCTCCACCTACGCTGTCCAGCATGTTAGCTGCTTACCACATGCGGGTACTGAGCGTTTGAAATGTGGATGGTATGAGGACATGAAATCTTTATTTCATTTAAATGTAAATGGTCACATCCGGGTAGGGGCCGCCCTATGGAACAGCTCAGTTCTAGAGTGTTCTTCCTCTAGGGACAGGGCCTTACCCTCTGAGTCATACAGCCCTCAGGTGTGCTTGATGTTTAAACAACTAAATTTAAAGTGAGGTCAACAAAGTCATTGGTTCTAAAGTAAAAATTCAGTTTATTCATCTGTTTACGACACAGTACACAAGAGGCAAAGTGTTTCACATCATAGATTTAACTTCCAACTCCTGGGAATGTTCATTTCTTTGGCTAAAAGGAGAGACTAGCTGGGAAAGCCAGGCAATGCTTGGGCAACTGAAATAAGGTGGGGCAGGAGCAATGCCAACATCACCCTCATGGGGACGAGCACGGGGGCTATTAGTCGCAAGCAGATTCTCTAGAGTCGTTAGCTGGAAGCACAGGAGCACCACTCCTGGACACTCGAGCTGCCTCGGGCCTCAGTCGTCCCCGCCACACAGGTATAGCAGTGCTTTCTGGTAGTCACCCTTGGTGTCTTGCTATAAAGGGCCAGAGAGGAAAAGGAAATGTCATGGCAAGAAAAAGATCCAAACTTCGCAATAACACCCAGGCAGAGAGAGCCAGTGCACACAGAGCCTCTCCCGTATTAACAGAGAAGACTCTGCAGGACCTGCCCTGGCAGAGGCCTGGAAGGCCACAACCCAACCGCCGCCACCACCACCATCATTGTCATCACTGCCACCAGAGGGCTCTCAGGGAGTGTGGGGGGGGGGGGGACTTTCAAATCAGGTCGTTATTACAAGGGTGGAGCAAATGCGAGGTGCTGGGGATTCGCCTGGTAAGCGACTTGCTCTGACTACTGTGACTTCCCTCACACACCACCCCTTTCGCTCTGCTCCTCCCCATTTCAGAGCAGAGGGGGACTTTCCTGTCTCACTGTGCTGTTTCCTGGATTCTTGAGGTCACACGGAAATAAACTGGTGAAGTGAAGACGCAAAAGACACAATGACTGAGAGTCTAAACGGGAGCTAAACTTTAAACCTAGGCCCAATGAACCCGGGCATAGCTAACCCGGTCAAATTCACCCTGGGTAACCAGGAGCCTGCCTTTGGAAATACCAGGATCTTTAGAAGGGGGGTTGCAAAGCCTGCCTGAACCACACACAGCGGGCCCACAGTGAGTGCAGTCCCTCCCCCCACGGGGATGCTCCGTCCCTGCAACGCAGAGACGGTGTTGTCGGGAGAGACCGGCGTTCTGAGTCAGAGCGGCCAGGCCTATCACAGGCTTTTCAAGGAAGGGAAATATAATGAAATGTAAGATTTAATTGATCTAAGTCTCTTGAGCTTGTCAGCAGCTCTTACAGGATCATCCTCAGAACACCAATTGTCATCGTAGAGTAACAGATGTGGGAAATAGGAAAACATGTGCCTGATTCCACAGGATTCCAGGCAAATCATAAATGGCACTTATGATATGCGATCGCATATCCCTGATATGCGATGACCAGCCCCTCTTCCCCAGAAAACACGACCCCTCCCCTGGGGCACTGGGGGGCCACCGCAGGGGGCTCACCTGGATGAAATAGTACAGGGACTTGCCGTACTTCTTCTTAAATTCAGACCTGATTTTCAACATGTCCACCTCGCTGCGAGAGATCATGATTCTCATCAGGACCTTGTCGCGTGTCCCCTTGCCCTGAAAGTCAAGTCGATGTCCCAGGTTACAACCCACCGACAACATTCATCGACGTTCAGTGTTAACTAAAACCGATGCAGTAAGTTTCCTGGCACACGGAACTGATCGGGGTTCTCGATGCGGCCCACTGAGAGATCACCAACGGAGCCGTGAAACCACTCCCTGAAGAGCAATGAGCAGGAAACACACCAGGATGACATCAGCCCACGTGCGCATTCAGTGAACGTGTGCTGAGCACTGAGCACAGCAAGGCTTGGTTTAACAGGTGTGCCGGGCTCCACAGGTAGCAAACGGTTCCCGGCTCTCAGGGGCCTGGAGAGGCCATGCCATCGTACCAGGTATGAGCACTAGGGGCCACTGAGTCTCCTTGCAGAGCCTCAGACCAGCCGCGGCCAGGAGGGGGTCACCGTTACTCAGAACCTGAGGAGAGAAGGGGAGAGGCAGTGTGGGCAAGGGGCTGACCCGGGGGCCACGGAAGGGCCCGGAAGCCGGAGAGCACACTTGAGACACAGAGCATGGGGTGGGACTGTGGGAAGTGATGTTTCATTCAGGTGAAAGTGGCTGGGCTGGTTTTAGGAGTCAACAGACCCAAGTTCAAGTCTGGTATGTAACCTCAAGGAAGCTGAAGCTTTCTGGGCTCCAGTCTCCTCACCTATAAACACAATAGCAACAAAATAATAAGCCCCAGGTTCTTTGGTAATTATTTAAGGTAAATAAAGTAATTTGCATAATGTCTATTATGTCATGGTTGCTTAGGAATCTCCCTTCCTCGCTTTTCTTCCTTGAGGCGAAAGGAGGGAGTCCCTGAGGAGTCCAAGCCCGGGCTGGCGTGTCCTCCCCTCACACTCCGTTTTCCACCTGTGCACAACACACGTTCAAGTAGCTGGGAGAGGGGATGCACTGTGCTCTTCTCACCTGTCAAAGGCAACCACAGCTGACTGGTGCACTCTGCACCTGGACTGTGGGGCTCTCTCCTCCATCCGCTAGGCAAGGAGACTCAGTTTGGCACAGAAAAGAAGAAAGGACTCGTGCGGAAACATGGACCTCACAGCCGGCTGCCCTTACCTTCATGGAGTCGTAGAGTCGGTCAGCAAAATACAGGGGCTTGTTCTGGATGCACTGGACTGTGGGGAGAAGAAAAGAGGCCAGTCACCCCTCTGTCCACCAGTGGAGATGAGGCCCTGCTCTAGGCACAAACCAGATGACCCGATGCAACAGGAATGGGCTGCAGAATGGAAGAGTCTAGGGAGAACCAGGGATCTTCTGAAACACTCAGCTCCACCCTGGCTGCAGCCCAGGGAACCCTGGGGGCTGCAGAACCCCAGGGGGCGGGGAGGGTTCTCTTCTCTCACTCTTCCTCAGCAAACCTCCGTCCACCAACTTAAACCCTTCCTACGTTTATACGGGGAAGGTTATAAAGCCACCCAAATCATGTGAAGAAGCCACACCTCCCCACACACTTGAATTAACAAAAGGGTCATTTGTTTCTTCTACTTCAGCACAGAAAGCTGATGTCCGCCAGGGACGGGGACCTCGCTCACGTACCCAGGTTCAGGAAAGCATTTTCCAGGTCTCCCTTCACTTCCTTCTTGATGCTCTCCAACATGTCGTAAGGGCTGTAGCTCTTGTACCTTTCAAATACTGAGGAAAAGCAAAGAGTAATTACTGTAACAGAGCTGCTAGTCAAAGATGGCAATGATCGCTCACACGGTTATATAACATGATTTTTAAAAAAAATAAAAAAGGACAATCACAGCATCCTAGGGGCTCAGGGGTTGCCATGGTAAACCAGAGCTGACACTACACCAGTTGTTCTAAATGCCACTGCCCGGGCCATGTTTGAACAGCTCCCTCTCCCGAGCACACACATCATACCCAGCAAAGTCTATCACTTCAACAAATAGAGCAAAATAAAATGGTCCTCAGACAGAAAGGGGCACCAAGCTAAAGCACCACACCACGGGAACTAGTCAGGGGAAAGAAGGCTCCAAACTGGGGGAGAGAGGCAACAGGGGTGCAACGTGGAGCGTGAACTTCGTTCTGGCGGACCTGGGACCGCAGGGCACCCACCTTTCTGGAGGTGGCACACGCTCCGCTCAGTCATGATGCTGATCCACTTGGGCACGTCAGTGCCTTTCCTCTTCACTCCAGCGTCATAGAGGTCCTACGAGCACAGCCCACCAGGAAAGGTCACACAGCAAAGTCACAAAAAACATCATGGAAAAAAACGTACAACCCACACATTCAAAATGCCAAGTGAGAAAGGAAGACTGCACTGCCGTCGTGAGCAAAAATGTACTACTTAGGTCTCAGGTCTTCATCAAGAGCAGTCCTACTTAGACTCGGACCGAGTGGCACGAGACTGGATTGTTTGTGAGGTCGGTGCTGCACAAATCTCCTTCTTCAAACACCCGAGAAAGGACCGACAGCTTCCGTTCCCATAAGGAAGGACAGGCAGACATTCATGTGCATATCCAGCCCTCCTTCCTTGTTGGCACTTCAATAGCTAGTAGGCTGGTGGTCATCTACCAAAGGCAGCTGTAGGACGGGTACCCACACCTGAGCTTCCCAGAGACTCGGGAAAAATGGTGGAGTGGAAAAGGAGCCAGTCCAACCTCACTTTCAGTTTCAAGGAAATCTAAAGGCTGTAAGTACCGCTAACAATGGTGGGGAGGGGATGGGAGAGGCCAGTGCAAGGGAGGGCACTCTACCCGTGATCATCTACAATCTGGGAGCTGCGAAACCCCACTTCTTTACTTTATCTAAAAGCCTTTACTACCTGCTAATGGTGCTGCGTGAAATAGAGTGAAATTTAAAATGAAAATGAATTTAAATAAATTTTGTTCTGCAGCTCTTATGACACTTCGTGAGGCAGCTGCTGACCCTCTGGGAAAAGGTATGGAGTTCACAGTGGTGTGAGTCAGCTTAACAAACAGTTCTCGGGGATTATGGGACTAGGACCAGCGAGAGGCGGAAAGAAGGCAGGGCCTCTGCCGCCCTGCCTCTCCCACTCCCGGTCCCTGCTGTGCCCTCACCATCTTCTTCCGCCTTCTCGTATTGTTTCCTCTGCTGGCGTTCCCTTGTACCAAATGCACACAGTGAGCACAGCGGTATCACACCCTGCAGAAACTGCTGCTTCCACACCCTCAAAGCCTCAAAGAGCCTATGTAAGTCAGACAGTGGATCCTGCCACCGACAGCAGCAGTGCAGGGGAACGCCTGCTAACGGCCAGGGCTCCCAGAAGGCGGACACGAAGCCCACAAGCTCTCTGACACTCCTCCCCTCCAAATGCGGTGGCTACTCCCCCTGCCACAGACAGTGGGCTGGACACAGTGACTCACTTTTAGTGAAGAGAGTAGGACGCAGTGACAGTGTGACTACTGAGATCAAGTCACAAAGCACTTGGCTTCCTCCTGGCTTTCTCCCAGGGATCACTCACTGGGGGAAAGCCAGCTGCCACGTTGTGAGACACTCTGGCAGGCCCATGGGGGCCCGTGTGGAGACACACCAAGGCCTTCTGCCCACAGTCATGCGGGTGGGCCGTCCTGACCCTGCCAGCCCCTCGGGAGGCCACACGCCTGCTCAGCATTTTGTCTGTCTGAGCCACAACCAACCAACTAAGCCACTCCCCGAATTCTGACCCACAGAAACTGAGTGATGGTAAAAGTTCATCTCTGGAGGTGATTTGTCACACAGGACAGACAGTTACTATACGAACTATCCAGAGACTTATCACAAAACAGAAACTCGCACCAAAAAGCCTTGGTACTTACCCGGGCATCCTGGTCAATCAGCTCGTAGTCAATGACAGAGCCGTCCTCTGCTCTTCTACCCTACAGAAGGAAAATAAAAAGAACATCAAATATACTCCTTTGCACATTTTCAATGTTATTTTTCTCTCCAATTCTTATAAACCATCACTTAGTTTGTTGAACAAACACCCACTTAACATTGTTTCTTCATGTTGAAGTCTAGCCAAGGCTGAGGAGGGAGAACCTGAGGCAGTGAAGGGGCGGCTGCGCCTCACGTCCTCCCCGCTCCACGTCCTCCCCGCTCCACGGTGCCCAGCCCTGGGCCAAGCCCCTTGGAGTCAGCATCGTCCGAGGACGGGAGGTCAGCTGAGCACCGGGAAGGGCAAGTCAGGTGGGGCTGGTGCCAGGCGGGGGGAGAGAGCCTCGCAGCAGAAGCAGCCCAGGGGAGGCTGAGCACCTGCCAGCCCGGGTGAGTGAGGTGTGCCCAGCTGGAGCAGGTGGCGAGGGAACCCTGGGAAGATCGGGTTAGGGAGAACCAGGGGACAGAGGACTTCCTAAGAGAGCAGAAAGTTTGGATTTGATGTAGCAGAAATGGGTTTTGATTGGGGACTAAAATGGTGAAAATGGACTGCAAAATGATAGGTGGGTGGCGGTGCACAGGGCAGGCAGAAGAGGAGAGCAGGGCAGCGGCCCGGAGCTGCTCCGGTGACAGAGGTGTGACGGGGGCAGGACGCAGCGTGCCAAGCAATCACCTGTTACCAGGGTTCCTGGAGAAAATAACTCCCTCCTCTGACACGTGGGCGTTAAACTGTGCCCTGGTCAGAACTCGGATTCAGAAGAGAAATGCCTGTCCTTCCCATTAATGTGCTCACATTGGCAAACAAAGCCCTCCCCAGCCCCTCTCCGGGCCAAAGACTGCACAGGCAAATCTCCTAAGAAGTGAAAACGAAAGAAAGAAACAAGGGAGTCACTTCCCACTGGGTCCCCAGTGACCACTGTGACCCAGTGACCTGGGTCCCCAGGCCAGTGACAGAGGCAAAGTGACCTTCCCAAAGTCCCATGAGAAGGGCTGGCACGTAAACCCAGGCCAGGACCAGAGAGCCACCTGTCACTCCTCCAGTCCCCAGAGTCCACTGGCCTGCACAGTTCTGCTGGATAAGAAATCCTATTACACAAAGATGACAACCATCCGCAGTGACAGTGCAGACCCACTGTCGAAAATGCAGCTGCCATTTCCGACGCAGGCACAGAGGACTGAGTGAATTCGCTTCCAAGTATAAAATGAGGGATGTGACTTGCCTTGGGAAGAAGCAAGGACAAAGAAATAAACTGGAAACCAACCTTGGCGAGAGCAACCATCAGCTTGCGGAAGTCACCAGATGTGTCGGAAATAATGTCCTTCTCCAGGTCAGTCTTGTACACTTGGAAAACAAAACGTAGGGGTCAGCTTCTTGCCTGTGCAGCCAGCCACCCACACACTGCCACCACCCCCTGTCCACGAAGCCTCTGAAAAGCAGAAATGGCCGTGGCAGCATGGATGTACCTGCCCAAATGCCAGTGGATTTCCTAGAACAAACTGTACCTTCATTAACTCAGAGCCCAGGTTATCATCAGTAACAAGGGACAGACAGAGCTGGATCTGATTAGGGGTACTCAAGCTCACCTATAATCAGTGATCTCCTCCGTGGCTAAAATATTGGTTCCCAACCTCCTGGAATATGAATACTCATTCTGAACCTCAAAACATCTGAAAGGCTACACACACACACACACACACACACACACACACACACACACACACATAGACACAGGTGTGCTTTATTATCCAGTGACTGAGAAAATGCACAATGGCAAAAACTAATAAGAATTAAGTAGTGCTTGTGAATGAATTTCCATTGTATTATTCAAAATAGCATCTGTACTGAAACACAGTAACACACACACACTTATGCTGCATCATTTATTCTACCTACAGCCTCCTATACTGCTTGGTGCACATAGGTTGCTATAATCATCCAGTCCAGAATCGGGAACTTTTTGAGCAGAGACCGGATGGCACCCAATAAATGAAATCCATGTATACTTTCTACGTTTCCCATCAGATCTTTTAAATGTATTTTGATTTCTCTCCTGTCTTTCCTTTTGTAGACATTCTACCGGAATATAATAATCAAAACCTGGGCCATCAGGAGGTGAAGGAGAGGTACCCGGACCATGGCAAACCCTTGGACAGAGGGCAGGCATTTCTGCCTATGTAATCAGGCCTCCTATCCCAGTAGCTAGGAAGGGGGCCAGAGATACTGGACAGAGAGAATGCATCACAGAACTAGAATTACTCACTTTCCTTGTAGACTCTGTTAATTTCCTGCAGCTCCTGGTTGGTCCTTGAGCAGATAATCTCAATGAGAGAGTCCTCATCAGTCCCCAGCCCCTGTGAACCAGGCATCAGAAACGTCAGCAGGGAAGTCCTCCTTGCCGTTTCCCTACTTCTCTCTCTGGTCTCAGTCCGGTAAATGGCCAACACGGACTGTGTCTGTCAGCACGCTCCCTTCCAGGTTCCTGCTGAGGGATCTGCACTGCATTCCTCAGCACAAGCTAATGTTATTTTTTATTCCTTTAAAAAACGTTTTACCAGAATATCAAGTGGTATAAGTGACATGTTTGAGCTCAAATATTTGTGTGCGTGTGTATGTGTGTGTGTGTGTGTGTGGGTGTATGTGTGGGTGGGTGTGGAGAGATGCCGAAATATTAAGTGTTTGCCTTTTAGTGATGGGCTTATAAAATGAGTAACTTCTTATTCCCATTTTTCGTTATATTTCAATTTCTACAATCACCCACCATTTTAACAGGTGGGAAAAAAACTTTAAAAAAGATTTTATTTATTTATTTCTAGAGAGACGGGAAGGGAGGGAGAAAGAGAGGAAGAGAAACATCAATGTGGGGTTGCCTCTCACACGCCCCCTCCTGGAGATCCAGTCTACAACCCAGGCACGTGCCCTGACTGGGAATCAAACTGGTGACCCTTTGGTTCACAGGCTGGCACTCAATCTACTGAGTCACACCAGCCAGGGTGGAAGTAACTCTTTTTATTAAACAATTCTGTTCAGTAATTCAAAATAAAGGAATAGCCATGGCTGGGTAGCTCAGGTGGTTGGAGTGCCAGCCCGATATGCCAAGGCTGTGGTTTCAGTCCCCAGTCAGAGCTCATGAAAGAATCAACCAGTGAGTACATAAGTAAGTGAAACAACAGACTGATGTCTGTCTGTCTGTCTCTCTCCCTCCTTCCTGTCTCTCTAAAATCAATTAATAAAAATTAAAAAACACAAACTAATAAAGGAATATAGAGATTTTATTTTGCCGTTTGCAGCTAACATCATTATAGTTTTCTTTTTTTTAAGCCAAGGATAGGTATAGATAAGATGATATTTTTAGCTTTAGCTCTTTGAAATGTAAAATTGGGTTAATGTTAAAAATTTTATTCTTGTATTTCCATTTTTGCTTGATTACTATGCACTCTCCAGGCGTTTTAGGGAAGCAAAGGGAAATAATGAAGTGCCAAATAAACCGAGACACCAACACTTTATTAAGGAGTAAGAATTTGATGGGTGATGTATTCAAATTTAATACACACACTTTTGAGCGTGCCGGATAGCTTGAAAGGACTCCCTGAAACATGTATTTCAAAGCTGACTTCATGATCAAAGTCGGGATTTAATAATGAGGACTCTCTAATACTTGTCTTTCCGAATATGGAAATATTCACTTTGAACTAAGTAGAATTACAACTGTTTAAAATGTACATCAATTATAAGGTGTTAATACAATAAGAAACTTACTGATACACATGAAAAGTATGTCAGCTATTAATTAAACTTATTAGAGTTTATATCCTCCTGAAAGGGGTTTGTGTAATATAAACTAAGCCTCAGGTTAATGGTTAATTTTGAATTTTATTCTTAATATAATCTATGAGCCAATGCTCTTCTCACAGAGCTTTTAATCATAGAGGTTCTGGCAAAGCCAAAATTACTTTTCTTAGCAAAAGGTGTACAAAGCATTCAATACAAATGTTATAGAATGATTACCAACCATCTTTAAATATTTTAGAAGGCACCTTTTCACCTAAAAATAACATGCATTGAGAGAAATGCTATACCATGACATCATAGAAATGTAAAGCAGGTAGACAATGTAAGGTCTAGTTTCTTCCATCACTGATACACCAGTGTCAGTATCTGAAAATTCTCATAGTCCTTTTTTATCTCTGTATTCAAAGGTGACCTTGGCAATGGCGATTTCTACCACTTGGCCCAAGTTCTCCACAGATTATCCACAATTCCTATCACAAGGACGACTTCTACCGTACATGTGGTACTTCTGCCACTGGTATTGCCAGAAGTCAAAACAAACAAAAAAAGAGTTTTTAAAGCATAGCTCAGTTAATGCCACTTCCAGCTTTACAGGTTTCGGAAGGGTACTCGGCTGTGACAGCTAATGGAAGCGCTGGCGCAAGGTCAAAGGTTTAGAAGTCAAAGCACCTTTCATCGGACCCACTCATAGATTACAGCGGTGACTGACGTCTCACACAAGTCCGTTTCAAGTCACCCATCCTGGTAATAGATATTAGCAAAACTGCATGAACCACAAGTAAATGAACACTTGATGAAAATAAGATAAACTGATCCAAAGTGATGATGGTCAGGAGAAACCTGGGAGAGGCCAGCTCATCTGTGGCTCCAAAGGCCCCAGGACTCGGTTCTCAGGAGTGTTCTTGTCATCAAGCAGGTCATGAAGGGCTGCTGACATTTTATCACTCTTAATAATGCCTTCCCTGCAATGCTATCGCCCACTTAGGAAACTCAGAGCAAGTCTGCTCAAATAACCCAGAGAAGTGAAGGGAGAAAGAGTTCACGACAAATCTTTCCGCAGCCTCGAGCGATCTATCAAGGTCCGGGCCCTAGAAGTGCCTCACTCTCGGGGGGCTCTCTGGGGAAGGGGATGACAACTGAACCGTGACATTCGCTCCGAGGACAGGCTCGGTCTCTTCATAATTCAGGAACAGTGGCATCCCAGAAAACGCCTCTCGGACTTGGCATAAAAAATTAGCACTGTAGCTCTCTCCCTGAGGCGGAGGCTTTCCCCCGGTCCATCGGCAGAGGGCAGTGTCCGATCACTCAGTGCCGTGGTCACACACTGCGAAGGGTCTAGTGATGCTTGGCTGCAACACGCACTTACGTTTGTGCATCTGTTACAATTACATAATACGTGACGCTGTAGGTGCCCGCAACATTCAGAGGGTTTCCAAACAGGAATTTTGACAAATTTAAACTAAAACTGCAGGTTCAAAATAACTTTGAAGAGAAAAACAAAAGATAGCGTGCTACCATACTGTAAACAAAACACAGATACCATTCACAATCTGAAATCACTCTTTATGGGCACTGTGCCGTTCTGACTTGCCCAAATTTGAATCAAACAGTGGAACTGACTAGGAGGTCAGAACAAGAAACACCCAGGAGCATGGGCAGAATTTGCTAGCCTCCCTTAACAAAACCTCTGAGTTTTACTTTTGCCTTAATATCAAAACAAATCTTTTTCAAGGAGGAAGTGTAATCAAGGAAGTAGTTTCTCCAAATGGTGTTTCAATTGCCCAGGTGCCAAGCAGTAGCAGCTGGTAACTGACTTCTCAGCATCATGAAATTTCTTTGCAGTTTAAAAAAAAAAAAGTAATTGAAATATTTTTGGTACAAATCCTGAGACTTTTAGCTGCAGTTCATTCGAAATAAGATGGTTCCAAATGAGAATTCAACAAAACCGAAAATCACCTAATTACACTCAAAACGCTGCAATTCACAAATATTAACGGCAGATTTGTCAGACTTGACGCGTGTACCTTCATGGAGGCCTTCAGCTCGGAAGCGTCATACTGAGCAGGTGTTTTCAATAGGCCCAGAATCACCGTCTCCAGGTGGCCAGACAAGGCTGACTTCAGCGCTGACGGAAGTTCCTTCAGAAAAAAACAGCAAAAACACGGAAAACTTGTGGTCACCAATACATTCACTTTAAAACTGGTGAGTAAAATGAAAGGAAAAGTGACGTGTTTGTGAAGCAGACTGTGATTCTGTGACTATCCAGGGGTCTTGGATCAAACTGCCCCTCCCCTGCAGGCCCTGCCACAGACACAGGTGGTGGAAACCGAAAGGTCGGAATTGGCTCTGACAAAAAACCCTTCCGATCCAAGCTGATGTTGCCCTCTCCCCCCGAGTCATTAAAGAGAAATCAGAGCGGTGTGCAATTTCTCAGAAAGCAATGAGTGTGAGGGCGTTTTCCAATATGCTTGCATGTGGCAAGAGCCAGTGGAAGATGGGGCACTTTCTGGGGTCATCAAGGCCCCCACTAAGAGGGAGCCAGTTTGGGAGGGGCGGTGCTCCAGGGAACAGAGGTCTTGTTACCTGCTGATACCCTCCTGTAGAAGGTGTGTGTCCAGCTGTGCCAAGGGTGGCTCCCAGAAAAGTCTCCCAAAGGGCCCAGAGGCCCCAGTGTGCCTGGAAGTGGCTCATGAAGCTTCCCCACACAAAACACTTCATCCAGGACCGAGAAAATATCTACTTGTCGGTAGCAAATTGGGACGGGGTGACGTTGACGGTGACGATGGTGGGGCTAAAGCACCCCAATTACCCCGTCAACTTCTCCGTGGTATGTTATTTCTTAAGGGTTCCACTGTCACATTAACACAGATTTTCCATCAGGAGAGGTCTGAGCTGGCACCTCTGGCGGTAAACAGACACCCCCAAATTCAATGCAGCTTCCTTGGGGATCACACGGCCTACAAATAACGGAGGGGGGTTGACGCCGGCATCCTGCTGCGGGAATTATTCTGTTCTCTTTTCACTTTTCCCGTTCTCTTCTCTCCCTCCTATCTTTCTCTCCTGCTCTCCAGCAGCCCCACAGCAGCTGTTGACACAATGTTCAGCCCCTACAGGTACTTGCAGGAGCTGAGAGGTGATGTGCAACCTACTTCAGAGAGAATCTTCTCAAATCATTCGCAGAGGCTGAGAGCTTAGAGGGATCTTAGGACTCATTGGCCCATCCCTTTTACCACCGACTTTCTCCTGCTTCTCACTGGCCCAGTTACACGTAGCTCGTAGGAGGGGACTTTAAAAGCAACACCTTCCAAATTTAGTACCAATTTTCCCATTTGGAACTTTGAGGTTAGGTAATTCCAAACTCCGCCTACCCTCAACACTCCCCTTTACCCAGGCTCTGTTCAACCCTCAAATAGCATCTGTGTACCTACGGACTTCTTCCACTTCTATTATAAATACCTTATGGGCGTTCAACTTCCTGCTTCTCACAATGCCTGCCACGAGGCTTCGCACTTAACAGAAACTCCAGAAATGTTTGATAAATAAAAGTCTCTCCTTAGATGGAGAGACATCTGGCATCTGCTTGAACATGAAAGCAATATAAGATCAACCTCTCCCCCAGCTCCTATCCACTTCTCCTAGCTCTGCCCGAGCTGTTCAAGTTTATCACCTAGGCAGCCTTGGGCCGTCTCCCTAAAGTGATCTGACTAGGGGCTTTCCCTTTCTTATGCAAACAACTCATTCAAAACAATAAGGTCTGTGTCCAGGATTTCCTCCCGAAATTATCTCAAGGAATTTATGTATCTTTCTGTAAAAGATGACGATTTTCCTTAGCCCAAGGATGAGAGATGAATCAGGACAACTCACAGCACAGACTTGTGAGTTGTCCCCAGCACAGAGCAAAGCCTGTGAGGTCACTGAACCCCATTATGATTCTGGCAATATCTTCCCTCCAACAGGGTACATGACAGCTTTGACCTCCATCCAACTTGAAATCAAGATCCAGGCTTCTATATTCCCTTGTATACTTCCGTGTACGTACCCAAGTGCGTTCCCAGACCCCACCCTGTGAGTGACAGCTGAGGAGCAATTTCAGGCACACTGTGCAAAGAGGCGGGCCTTCTGTGCCAACCGAAACGCACTTCTACCAGTGCACAGATTCCACTGGGTAAGTGGAGAAATAATACACTCCCTTTTGTGCCTCACTACAGATTACTATAAGTCTAATAGGAGGAAACATTTTAATGCACATGGCATGAAAGAAGCCAGATGCCTTCCTATTTCTGTCCTCTCCAACAGTTTTAGGAGGTAAGGGAGGGAGCCGCAACAGGGCCTGGCCTGCAACTCCCAGAACCCTGGTGGTCATGTCCACCCCAAGAGCAGGAATGTTCTCCAGAACACTTCCAGCTCACCTCCACGGGCGCTACCAGTGAAAGCCGTGAGTCAAACGGCCTGCAGGAAGCCACGCTTACTGCAGCATCCACGAATAAATCTAAAGCTTTTAATAGCAAGAAGTTAAAAATAAAGCAGCCCGTTCTTAAAAATAAAATGTCCTAACACTGCAACAAAATAAAGGATGAATAAGCCCGGGGTTGTCCTTTAACCGCTAGTGGACAAGCACACAAAGACCCTTTATTAGGGTGGGAACATGGCATGTCGAAGATAGCCTGGTAGACCAAACAAACTATTAAGCCCGTTCATTGCAAAGCTCTTAGAATTCAAGTGTTGCTGTCTTTTTTTTTTAAGAATGAGAGAGCATGTCAGGATCAATATTGGCTGGAGCCAAGGGCCCTAAGATTAAATTAGAAACATCTTATCAAGAGCCAGCAGAAGTCATAAAGATGAAATGAGCTGCTGCTACATGCAAACAAACTACATGCCTGGCATAAAGTAAGCCTTCAATAAATGGTACCTGTTGAGGTTAAAACCTCTGGCTTTCTGACTCTACTCCCAGAACTGCTCCTGCACACACTGGGGGCTGGAGGAGCGCATGGTGTTTGTGGAAGGGCTCCATGCACTCCAGGGGCCACGTGTGTGGGAGCTGTGGCTCTCAATGGTTGTAAGAGGAAACCTTGGACCCCAAGGGTTCCAGAAGGCTCTTGCTGGTACAACCCAGAAGACATAAAATGAAAAAGCAATGGCTGAAGAAATGAAGGTCCCCAAGGAGTGCCCTCTGTCCCCCAGACAGCCTGTACCTTTTTGGTCCTTCTCTGGTAGGCAAAGGCAATATCTTGTCTCTGCTCATTGCTGCGGTTGGTCAGAATGTTGACGATGGTGACCTCATCCACACCTATGGGAATACAAGTCGCAAAGAGTTAGCCGTATGCTTGGGTCCTTCGGGCTTATACAGAAGGCTTGAAACAGTTTTACAAATAAAAATGTATATACTGTTTTCCAAATAAAAATGCCAGGACATCAAACTTTGGCCTCTCTCTGTCAGCACCCTCCACCCCAATGTGCCGGCCTGCCTGCCTTTGTTTCCTGACCACTTCACACCTCCAACCTAACTGGGTCTTTTTAATATTTGTATTTTTAAAAAACTACTTTATTCATAAATAGGTTTCTGGAATCAACAGTAGGCGGTGCATTTGTGGGGCTCCAGCAGTCAGATGGAACAACAAAGATTTAGAAGGATTTTAAATGAAAGTCTTCAAATTGCTATTTAACTGGGGATTTAATAGCACAGTAACTGTGGACTGAATTAATAGAGATGATTATTTATATTTATCACAGGAGTATGACTATATAAGTAGCTAGGTATAATTTCTATAATTATAGAAGTTGTCATGACAAATGAGTCATATTTAATATGGCACTTGTATTTTAATAGCATAATTGATTAATACAATCATACTTATTGAAGACCAAATTGTTTTGTAAGGAAAATAAACGTTCCACTGCTTTTAATCTTCAATAGGCAATTTTAATCATCAATTTTATAACTTTATTAAAAAGAGTAAGTGTTTTAATCTAAATTAAATCTAAATTGGGAGTTTTGAAGTGCCACCAAAATATTTTAGTACCTATTTTAATTGGAACATGTGCATGGACAAAGATAAGCAATGCCTTCTGGGACCTGAAAGTTCCCAATTTTATGTCACAAATGCTCCTAACATGCCATTTACCTTAAGAAAGCAGGTTTTAGGGATTCAGAAGGCAAAGCATCTCTCTCAACTGAGTATAAATTTTGTTTAATAAGGAATCTTTTCGACAAGTGGGCAGTGAGCCTTGGGCGAGGGAGCAGAGTGACCAGGCCCATGAGGTGACGCACGCACTGTGGACAGCCTGGTCCAGGGGCAGCCAGGCGTCCCAGAGTGACAGAAAGGCCAGACCTATGACACTCCGGAGCAGAGGCAATGAGCGGGCAGAGGGAGAAGGGGACCTCAGCTCTCAAGCATGTTAGAAAGATCAAAAAGCTGAAAGTTAGAATTTCTGGGTATAAAAATAAAAGTGAGTTCATGCCAGTATGTGGGTCAGTTATGTTAACTGCAGCGTCTATTACATTAGCTCTGACTTTCAGAGTAGCCAGTGTCAACATAGAAGTCCAGCTGCTGTATAAGGGATGCGTAGTTCAGCATTTTGTAGAATATCAAAAATAATGGGAAGAAAAAGCCTATGTCCATTAAGAGACTGATTAAATAAATGTTCTTGTTTATGTAATGGGATATTACAGTCAACTAAAATGGTGGAACAAAGTATTAATTGACGTGGAAAAATGTTCTCACAATATACTGTTAAGTAAAAAAAAACAACATTGTTAAATTAAAAAAATACAGGTTGCAAAGCAGTATACCAAGCATAACACAATTTTATGAAATACATATGGCATGTATAAGAAAATACCTAAAAGCCTTTACACCAAAATTTTAATAACGATCATCTGAGTGATGGAATTATGGGTAATTTCAGGGTTTTTTTTCTTTTGATTATATGCTTTTGAAGTTTCATAATGAGCATAAAAGGTTTTTTTAAATGCATTGTGAGTGACATGTAATCAATGATCTCGAATCAACTAGTGACTTCCCCTCAACAAATTCTCAGCGTAGTTCTAAATACTTTAGTTAATAAAACACAATATGCATAATAATTAGGAGTCAGAACTATATAATTCTCTTTGGTTTCCAAAATATCCTAACAACTATATCATTTAATCACCCCGTGGAGATAGTTATTTCTCTTCCCAGTGTATAGATGAAGACACTGAACTCAGAGGCTGAGGCCCTGCCTTGCAGACATCACAGATATAAGCATCTCCTTCCTTGGGTCTCAGCTTCCTCATCTCCAGAAGGGGCTTGAGCCACAATCTTCAGTTAGCTTCCACAAAACACTGACAGAATCGAGCTTTAATGTATTTGGTTTCAATTAGGTATGGGCAGGATAGATTTATGCAAAGATTCATGAAAGTCAGAGGCTACCTGAGCGGACAGGTGTCTGGGCACCTGCACGCACACCTACCCCACACAGGTGTGCTCCCCGGCATGTGCGCTCTCCCTGGCTCTAATTTATGGCTCTAACTTTATACTAGGAAAACCACTGGGGCCCTGGACGGGTAGCTCAGTTGGTTAGAGCATGGTGCTGATACGCCAAGATTGAGGGTTCAGTCTCCAATCAGGGCACATACAAGAATCAACCAATGAATGCATAAATGCATAAATAAGTAGGACAACAAATCAGTAGTTAAAAAAACACAGGGAAAAAAATCCCACTTGTTTATAGACGTGTTTTTCGCCTTATACTTAACTTTCTTACCCAGGTTTGAAAACGCTAGAGAACAACAAAATACAATTCTATCATCACTTCAACCCTAGTATTTCCTGAAATTAATTTTTGGGGCTGCTGACCTGAAAGCACACCAAGAACACTGAACCATGAAAAAACTATTCTCCCTTGGGGACAAATGCAAAGTTATATTTGTGTCAGATGTGGTTCTGGGCCCGTCTGAATTAGAGCCACATGAAGTACTTACTAAAAAACACAGTCCCCTGGGTCCCACCTGAGGTCTATTGATTAAAGGCCTCTAGGACTTTGGACCCAGGAAGCAGCATTTCAGCCACCTCCCTGGTGATTATTTAGGAGCCACCAAGGGTCACCAGCAGAGATGGCTAAGCACAGGTGAGGAATGGAAAGCTGTTTGAAATCTCCCCACGTACAAGACTTTCAAGTACACTTCTACCAACTGCATCTGTCAGGTGCAGGGTCATCTACAATTTCAGGGAGAGAAATGCTGACCTTTGTCCCAAAAACCCAGGCAGGAAATAACACCAAGCAAGAGCTCACTGCACAAACTGCAGTGCAGTCCTGCTCTTGGTGAAACTGCCGTCTGCTTCTCTGTTCCTAGCGCCTAAGCGTCCAGCCCACTGGGTCAGAATTCAATCCAATTATTGGAAATCCTCATAAAGAGCCTGGGTAGTTAACCTGAATCTCACCTAGGAGGCAGTAACTGCTCTAGCTGGAAGGAATCTAAATGTGTTTTACCTGAATTATTTACCAACCGAGCAGCCTGCTGAGATGCTGCCTCCAACATGCTGGGATATCTTAGGAGTGAACAATCTGATGCTTCACAAAAATGCTAATACTAGCAACTACAAAGAAATTAAAAGGGAGTTATTTCTTCAAGTGGAAGCCCGCTCTGCCTTCTGAGAACCTCACCTACACCAGCTGTTTCTCCCACATCACTGTCTGCAGGCTTTGAATTGAACTGAAAAGATGAAAAAATCATGGAGCCCAGGATCAACTGCCTCGTCAAAGCCACTCAGGACACCTCCTATGTCAAAACGCCAGAATGCACTCTCAGCCTGTGGGATTTGACCCCCTTCAATTCAGAGCACTGCTGCTTCCTCTTGACCTGCTACCATAATTGGCGAGATGGCTTATTCCTGCGGAAAACCGTCCAGCACAGGTGGAGCTGCTAGGGTCATCGGTGACTCATCATTCCTGCCCAGAATGTAGCTGAAGAGTGAAGCCTGAACAACTCGGCTCCCTGTGTCAGCACAGCCGGCGTCAACAGCGGACAGTGAGTGCGGACCACGAGGAACACTCTAACGGACTAACACAGCCGCAGACGCTCAGGAGATGAGGCTCTGCCCTCGGCATCTGTACTGTCTGACGGCTCACGTTGTTCCCATGTAATAGGGAAGTGTTTGCTGAGCCGAAGGACTCAGGGTCTAAATGAAACTGTGTGGCTGGGGCTAAAGAATAAGAGAAAAACAGCAAACCTGAGTGTTGCTTTTCCGTCCACTGCACTTGTGTTTGATGAGGAAGGTCAAGGTAACCCCAGAAAAGGCTCACACTGGGAAGCAGTGATGCGGGTGGGGGGGATCCTATAGAATGTGGGTGAGTTCACAGAAATTCCGTGGTCCACGCAGATTTATTTATTTTTATTTTAAAAAGTTTATTTTTGTCCTGGCTAGGTGCTTAGTTGGTCAGAGTGTTGTCCCAACATGCCAAGGTTCTGGGTTTGAGCCCCCATCAGGGCACATACAAGCAACCAGTGAATCCACAAATAAGTGGAACAATAAATCTTCCTCTCTCAAAAACAATACATTTTTTCAAAAATTATTTTCAAACAGAGGTTAAGATTTTCAAGACTGGTGAGGATCTAGGACACATTTATTTGGCTCCTGATGGGAAAGAGTGCCATAATGTCTGGACGTTTTTTCTCCTTAAATGAAACTGGTCGGCTGACTCGGTTCCCACACAGAGCTGGGACACCTGAAAGGTCAGGCGCCGGCGTAAAGGGCAGGGAACCCGCAGGAACGGTTCTGCCCAGGGACGCCACAGGGAGGCGCTGCTGACGGCAGGGCTCCAGCACCGGGGTCTGGGGTCGTGGGTTCCTTAAACCGCCGGCTGTATTTTTAAAACCTAAAGAACACTTGCAGTCTAAAATAATGGTTGGATCCCAAACCACGAAATCGGCCTCCTGGAGTTTCCTGCTCCTCCTCTCTGTGGGTGGAAACCCCAAGTCAGCTCCGCATCTGGCACTCCATGGAAAATGTCTTTATTGTCCACGGGCAAGGAACCAGCAGGCCATTCGGAACAGGATGCTGACTCACATCTGCCAAGACGCACTGGCTGCCCACAGAAAATGGATCACATTTTGTGTGGTGAAGGACACAGAGGCTGTCGGGCGGAGCTGACTGATTAGAAACTACCAACTGCCCAGATCTTCTCCTTATCTCGATTCTGGGGAAAAAAACTATGATTTGGCTTAGATTCCCAGGCATATCAGTACCAGACCTCAGGAGAAATCATCTTTACAGCGAGGTCCAAGGCAGGCCACTGAGAGGCAAG